AAAAAGTCCGTCTCAAAGGTCACATGTTCTGTAAATTTTCAAATAATTAATGTTAGCAAGGTGGGTACTGCAATCAGGGCCTCTTATAATCCCCATCATTATGGAGTTAAATTAGTTTCAAGTTTTTAATCTATTAAAATTAAGAACGTACATTCTCCAGGACCCAGCGATGCCAATTCTACATCTCCTAGGGAACATCTCTAAATGCTACAGGAAGATGCAGGTACAGAAGGGTTGTTGTGCATAGATGTTGCATGTGGTGCCTGGTATAAGGATGGCCAGCAAAAGGACAAATGGATATGGAAAGCCAGATGCCCACAGGGTCCAGGAGCCAGACAGGAGTGGTGGGTACCCTTTCACAGAGAATGTACTCCCCTCTCATTCTGCAACAACAGCTGAGGAATATATCTCTGGTTGAGAGGCAGAGCAGAGCATTTAGTGGGTTTTCCTTTGTCTCATTCTGTCACAGATCCCAAGGGAAAAAAGCTTTGCTTAAATACATATCTCTTGCCAGATGTGGTAGCACATGCCTGTAAGTTGCTAAGCAACTCAGTGAGACCCTATCTCTAAATAAAATTCAAAATAGGGCTGGGAATGTGGCTCAGTGGTTGAGTGTCCCTGGGTAGCTCAATCCCCAGTACCCAAGAACCACCAAAATGTGTGTATGTGTGTGTGTGTGTGTGTGTGTGTGTGTGTATGTATACGTGTATATATATATATCCCCCTCTAAGGCAAAGCAGTTTCATCCACCCAAATTTATCCATCTAGAGAAGATGGTTAAAAATAATGGTTAGTGAAGAATCACCTTAACTGTGTGTATCACATTTAATCCAAAGACCTCACTTCATTTTTTTAAATTTCTGTTCTTATCTTTATTATTTCTTTCCTTCTAGTTGCTTTGGTTTTATTTTTCTCTTTCATTTCTATAGTTTTTTCAACTCTTACATTTGTTCAGGTTTGTTTTATGTCTCAGGATATGGTCTGCTTTGTTTTATGGTTCTTGAAAAAATTATATGTTCTGATATTAGGTATGAACTATAAATTTCAATTAGATCCTATTGTATGTTACTGTTGATACTGTTGTACGATACTGCTATAGAGCTAGTTCTTCTATACCCTTGCTGATTTTCTGTCAATTGCTAAGAAGGGGATAAAACAGAAGATTGAAACTTCAACATAAAAATTACCATATTAAATTTAAATGATCTAAATACACTAAGGACAGAGAATGGAGGAGCAGATTTTTATCAACTGTACGTTATCAAAATGAAACCCTTCACATATAATGATATGGATAAGTTAAAAATAAAATGATAAAAAGATATAGAAACATCAACAAAACAAAGCAAGAATGCTTATATTAATATCAAAAATTAAACTTCAGAGCAAAAAGAATCATCAAAGATAGAGGGACTTTTTATAATGATAAAAGGGCCATTCCATGAAGACGACACCAACTCCAAGCATATGTGCTTCAAACAAGAGAATGGAAAAATACCTGAAGCAAAAGCTGGTGGAACTGAAAAGAGAAATACACAAAGACCTCACTTTAAAAGTGAAGAAATGTGAAAACAGCTGAGGGTGGGAGAAGTGGAGGCACTTCTCAGCATTCCACTCTCCATGGCTGTAGGAAAAGAATTCTGGTGTCACACTCCTCTCCTGGGCTTCATTTACCAGACATTCCTCCTCAACCACTAAGTTAGGAAGCTATTTCCCACAGTCTTATCGACAAAATGCAATACAGTTAATACAGCCAGCTGAGATAAAGAATGAAGGTCAAGCTGAAAGAGACTATTTCTGTCTAAATAGAGAAAGAAGAGGGTCAGGGGAAGCTGTGTGGATCCCAGCACCAGTTGATAAGTGAGAAAATGAGATTAAGAAGAATTCATAAAAGAAATTGTGATTCATTATTAAAGAATATGGAAACTGTCCACCCCCACAGGAAATGTAAGAGATGCATATGGAAATGATCATGAGGCACTATTTTCATCCATTGAGCTGGCTTTGATGATGAGCACTCAGTGCTCCTCCGATTGCCATGAGGCTGTTTCTCTCAAAGACGTGACATGTGTGGCCAAGTTGGGATGCCCAACTTATAGAGCAATTTGCAATGCCAGAATCCAAGGAGCATCCAATACCAGGACTCAAGGAACATCCATTCCTCCCATCAGGTTCTTCCTCTAAAAAAATGTATGCTAAGAATGTTTTGACAAAGGGATACACTGAAAGATATTTTCCATGGCATTATTTGTCAGTGAATAAATGAATTGCCAAATGTCAGTGTTCTCAGTGTTCTTTCTGCCCTGGAGTCTCTTATGAATCACTCCACATTCTCTGAAGTTACCAGCTGTCAACCCATCACCTCTTCAGCTGTGTGCCAAGCTCTTATGTCTCCAGCTGCCTCTTAGACAGTCCCATTGGATGCTCAAGAGTGAACTCACTTTCCTTCCACCGCTATGGTTTGAATGTTTTTGTCCCCTCTGAAATTCATGTTGAAACTGAATCCCCAAAGCCACAGTACTAGGAAATGTGGCCTTTGGTAAGTGGTTGCATCAATGACAACTTGGCCATCATGAATGGGATTAGATGCCTATAAAAGAGCCTGATGGAGGGAGTTTGTCCCTTCCTTCTCTTCCACCTTTTGCTATATGAAGATACATTTGTCCCCTCAAAGGACACAGTATTCAAGGTGCCACTTTGGAAGAAGAGCTGTAACATCACCAGACAACCAATTCATTCATGCCTTGACTTAGAATTCCCAGCCTCCAGAATTATAAAAAACAAATTCCTACATTTTATAAATTATCCAAACTCAAGTTATTCTGTTATAGCAGTATAAACAGAATAAAAGCAAGCTCTCCAGTCACAGAAGCCAAACCCTCAGGCATCGTTCTTTTCTCCTTTCTGTCCTTCAACGCCCCATCCACCTCCAAACTTTCCTTACTATCCACCCATTGTTCTCTAACACCTCCTACCATGCCACTTTCCTAGTCAAATCCATCAGCATCCCTCCCCTGAATAACCACTGGAGACCCTCCTTTGTGGTGTTATACAACCCAGTCTTGCTCGGCCCCATCAATTCTCCATCCTGTATAATTCTCTTCCTAAAACAAACAAACAAAAAAATTGACCTTGTTTCTCCTCCATGTACAAACTCTCAGTAGCTTTCTGTTTTCTGCAGCACCAGTCCAGATCCACATTCCTGAACTAGGATGAGGGGACCTCTGGCCCGTCCCTCCAGACCGAGTTCCAACCACATGCCCTTGCCTCTGCAGCCTTTTCCCTTGCTTTGGGTGTGCCACACACTACTTCCCTTTTGTTCTTTCCATAGGATGTTCAAAGTCACTCAATCTGGATCCTTTGCATCATCCCCATCAGTTGAATGATTGGGTAAATCAATGAGGTGCAATGCGAGCCGTCTACTCTATGTATAAGCTTCACACAGAAATGGTGCTGAAACAAGAAATACATGAAATTTTTGGATGGCACTTTTTAAAATGCTGAACACATTTTGTACCTAGCAGACACCGTTTTACACCTCATTAATCTGTGGAAGTTAGTTCTGACAACTCAGTCTTGAAATCTTACCACTTGACCAGCACCAACTCACCAGGAGCTGGGACTTTCCACTTTCCTGCCCACATCCTTCCTTCTTTCCTTCATCACCCCACTCACATTTCTTCACCATCTACATTCTTTCCAACGATATTGAACCTTTATAACCATTTTAATCGAGGACACATAAGAATAAAGGCATCTATGGCCAATAGAGAAAAAAGATGGGAGAGATAATTCACAGTAGAACTGCCAGTGACCAAGAGCAAAATGAACCAAGTATCAGGACAAGGAGTTAGTCACAAAGTCTTGGGAGGAGACCTCCGGGAAGACAGCAGCTAAAAACTCAGACCAAACACCTTAAGACTGATAAAACTCAGAAAGTTAATGAGAATAGCAAAGTATGGTGGCTGAGAGGATAAGCTCTGAGGTCAGAGTTGGACTGACCCTGACTTACCTTGGGCAAGTTATTTATCCTCTTTGTACCTTCAGTCATAGTGTCCAGCACATAGTAGTTTCTCAATAAATTCTAACTATTCATGCTATTAATACTGAGCTTATGGTGAGGGCAGAAGTTGGGGTAGGTACAAACCTAATAAGCTAGGGCTTGAGAATAGACATATTCTACCAATGAGAGCTGCAGGTGGCAGTGTTTACGGCTGTTCGCACCAGTCCTGCAACTCCAAGTATGGTTCCTCAGAGCAGCCACAATGGCATCACCTGGGTGCTTGCTAAAAATGCAGAATCAGGGCCTCCCCAGGCATCCTAAATCAGAATCTGCATTTTAACCAACAGGTGATTCATTTGCATATTTGAGGTGATACTATCCCGGGTTCCTTTGGCTTGTTTGGAAAAACTGTTTACAGCCAGGCAATAGCTGTTACCAATTGGAATCTGGAGGTAGAAGAGTTGCTAGGTAACCAAAATCGGGTGAATCTTTGACTTTTCCCCCTTTTAAATTGTTTCTTGGAAGTCAAATAGAATAAGCTGGTACTCTTTAGCATAAATAACCAAAATGCTCACTTCTAAAAATAGTGACAGTCATTGTTTATTGGTCTGCTCTTATGCCCCTAGCATGTGCTAAGTGCTTTATATATGTCACCTCATGTAAAATGTGATCATTGTTGTCACCATTTCACAGATGAGGAAACTGAGTCTCAGGAAAGTTACAACATCATTTGAATTTGCACAGATACTGAAAACCCAAGCAGTGATTCAAACAAGGATTAGTCTGACCTTTAGTCCCTTTTTCTCTTCTGAGTCCATCTTATATCAGACTCTATTAGTGTCCTGGAACAAGTAATACCCCAAATAATACCGCAGTCACTAATGCATGGCCTAACCCAGCTGCGTTATCCTAATTCCCCTCTCACACACCCAGACAGGGATTTGCCCTTTTCTTGACCCAGATTTATAAGAGAAAAGAGAACAATGCCAAGAAGTACCTGTGTCCTTTGTCAAAGGCTGCATCCAGAAGTCTCGGTGGCCCAGTCTAGGCCTTCACCATGGAACAACTTTCCAACAATGAGCAAGGATCTCTTGCCAGTCCGTCTGCTGAGAGACCACAGTCGTGTTGCTGCCGCCTTTGTTTACTGTTTGTCACTAAGCACTCAGCTGCCCAGAGAGTGAGTCAACAAGGTCCCTTCCCTTTTCTGCTGCTGCTGCTCTCCTGGGCCCTAGTCTCTGGCCTGTTAGCAGACAGACACCCCCCACCCCAGCAGCCTGTGTCCTCAAAGCCATTGACCCGTGAGCTAGCCAGTAAGAGCTCAATCGGATTAGGTGCCACCGAAGGCCATGGGAGGGCAGCTCAGCTGGGCTTTTACACTGATGTCACTTTATCTCCTGGTTCAATAAAAGAAAGATTCCTGCAAGGAGCAGGAGATAGCCTCAGAACCAAACTCAGTTTCATCAACACACCAGTCCTCCATACCCTTTTACAGCACCGACTTTGGACCTGAACCCAATAGAACAGAGACTCATGCAAGCTCATCATGAACAGAATACCTGGAGCTGCCCAAGGGAAGGCAGGAGGAATGTGGATGGAGAAAGAGGAAAAGGATCTTCACACTCTCTGATACTCAGGTTCAGAAGGAACCTTCAGAAGAGGGGAACAGCAAGAAAGAGATCACAACTCCTGTATAAGTAGTGGTAAAAGAGCAGATTTTTTTTGAGGCTTTTAAATAATACACAGTGCCAAAACTGAGAATTTTTTTATTTGTTTTAATTACTTATACATGACAGTAGAACACATTTATGCACTTTGATATATCATACATAGATGGGGTAGAATTTCTCATGTTTCTGATTGTACACGTTGTAGTGATGCAGCCAATGTTTATAACAGCTCAATTCACAAGAGCTAATCTATGAAACCAATCTATGTGTCCTTCAATAGATGAATGGATAAAGAAGTATTTTTTAAAAAGGAAAAATCTGAGGTTTTTCTTTCCCAATAAATAAAATTTAAAAATTTGCTGGTGAGGAGATGATCAATGAGCACATTCTCATATGCAGATAGTAACAATACTGATTAGTACTATCTTTCTACAAGGATTAGTAATCCTGGGTAGTATTCACTGGTAATAATCACTGGTATTATTCATTAAACTTCAAAATATACACATCCTTTGCAAGCCCAACTGCTAGGAAGTAACTCAATTCTTGCAAAAGTTCACCAAACATTTGAAGGATAATGCTCATTGCAATATATATATATATATATATACATATATATATATGTATGTATTTTTACTTTGTAGCAGATGCATAAAAACATTGCAGTACATTTTTGTAATAGCAAATAAGTAACAGGATCCATCAATAGTGATTACAGAAAGAAATTGTGGTTCACATACAGTGAAAAACCAACTCCAGAGCTGTTCAAAGAAGAGAAATAGATCTATGTGTGCTGACATTCAACAATCACCAAGAAAATGCTTTCAAAGATGAAAGGTGTATCATAGCCCAATATGATTCCCTTTATTACAAATACATAAAAAACCAAGTATTTGTATATTCTTTATTTAGAAAAAAATCACAAGAAACTCAAGAGTGATTGCTTTTAGGAGAGATAAATTATTTGGGGTATTCCCTCCCCCCTTATAACTTTTTATTATATTGCTTTAAAAATTATATAATACTTTGTAAAATGTATATTTTTCCTGCTTAATGCCATCTTTACTGCTATTCTATACTATGCAGCAAAACATTTTATAATATTTAAGACTACTTAGTATTATTTCTCTGAAATTTGTTCACTCATCAGATTCAACCTGTAACTTTATAAAATACAGATTCCCAAGCATTTCCCTGGCCCCGGTGAACTTGAATTTCTGGAGCAGATCCATTTGTAGCAAGTACCCAGGTGATTTTTATTTAGTAATTTGTTCAGGTCAACCATGCAAAAAAATGAAGAAATTGAGTCCCAGAGGGAGAAAGTGAATTTCTCTAGTAATATAGCAGGCTCTCAGTTGACTCGCAACTCTCTATAGTTGCTAAGTTTAAGTCACCTGCCACCCAAGTAAATGCTGATCTGCTTAAAATAACCACCACCTCCACCTTTTCTGTTAGAAATATTAGCACAAGGCAGTAATCTCCTTGTACAGTTAGGACTGCTAACATTTCAAAGGTGAAGGGATGGTGAGATAGGAGGGAGGGGAAGAAAGCAGATGAAATGATATAGAAATGCTGGGTCCAGTGGGAGGAATCTGACAGTCCCTTGTCCCGTGACCTCAACATTGCTAAGGAAGTTGCACTCAAAGGCAGCCAATTTGGAGTGAGTATAAGGAAAGCTGTGATGGTGATCAATTTAAGAAGGGGCATAGAGATGGTGAGCAACAGCTGGGCCTGAGGGACTGGAACTTTACAGAGGGTCAGAGGATCAAGAAGGCCAGAGGGAGGCCAGTAAGGCAAGAGGATGACCACGATAAGATGGGGAAAATGCTGATTGCTGGCTGATTGCCTGTACTACATTTTGTGTGATAAAGGAGGAAGGCAGGGATGTTTAAAGTATTATGTCTGAGCAAACCAGACACTTAGGTTTCAAATCTGTGGCTGGGCAGGGCAGGCATAGATTGATGTGGATCAACAGGTAACCAGAAAAGATAGTGAGGACAGGGGCTGAAGAGGGAGATGGAGCCAACTGAAACTGGCAGACCAACCAGCAATATGAGGGGCAGAGCCTGGTCTCTTCTGCTCCCTTTAGCAATTGCAGGGTTGTGATTTGAACTTGGAGCTTACCTGTCAAGCACAAGGGCAGCTAACAAAGGTGTGTGATTTGGGATGAATGACATTTCTTAGTGTTGCTGCTATTTCTTTAGATAAAATTTGAGTGATGGTTTTCTTAGAACCATAACTGAAAGGAAAGTACATGCTTTAGTAACTAAGATTTCGATGGCAAGTTCCTGTGAACCAGCCTTGGAGGTCATGAGGAGGCAGAGGCCTGAACAGCACTACCTACAGGTGCCTAGATGCTGTGGGTACAAACACCTTCCACCTGCCATGGTTGCTCCTTTGACTCTCCTTTCAGGTACAGTGAGTCAAATCCAGGGCCCAGAGAGGAAGGAAGCAGGAGTTGAGTTGAGACTGGAATTGGAGCCCCACTGGAGCCAGGTCTGCTGTCAGGGAGGTGCAATAAAGGACCCACAGGATGGAGAACAAGCAGAAATAGACATGAGTCAAGGCCACTTGTGAACAAATTGGGAGATACCAAGCTCCTACGGCCTTTCTTCTCAGAGCAATATAGTCCAATGCTGGCAAAATGCTAGGAAGAGATGAATGACAACTCAAGCACTCAACTGAAAAACAAAGCACTAAATTTGGGTAAAGGGTCAATTCTTCCAGAGCTTATCTGCCACTGAAATGGGAACTCTTTGAGAGCATAAGTGGCCTATAAGGGCTTTGCCTCACACTCACTCAGAACTGACTCAGCTCCTCTTATTGGGTCATTGGGTGAGAACTTATTGCCTTTCCCGCTTTCCTTACTGCCACACTCTCAGTCCCTCCCTACCACTCCTGCCCATGCCTTTAATAGCCCACCCATCTGTCTCTCTTGGCTCCCACTGGGGCCACCAGTCTGTCTGACTTTTCCATTACATCAGCTGAGGCCTGTACCAAACAAGTATGACCATAATGAAGTAGATCCCCATTGTTCAATCACTCATTCACTTACTATCCCACTACTTACTGACTTTGGGAACTTGGGTGAGTTATTTAATCTGTCTGTTAAAAGAGAATAATTGTGAGAATTAAATGAATAAATTCATGGCAATCCACTGCATATTTTACACATAAAATGAGTTAATCATAGTCATTACTGTAATTTCATTATTATCTATACCATCATTTACTCAAACATTTATCAAAGTCAACTCTATGCCAGGTATACTTTACAGAGTGTGCAAAGAACAATGGTAAAGGAGACTTGTGTCTGAGCAGCTAGTGCTGGGATGGTTTGGAACACCACCCATCTGCAGACCATTACCTAACATAAGACTTCACAAATAATGCATTTCTTTTAGAAGTCTACAAATTATTTTTATTCTCATGGGCTATGACCTTTCTAACAATCAAAGGCCATGACCTTTCTTCCCCTGAACTAAAGAGCTCATCCAAATATGGGAATGAGTCTCTCATGGAAAAATGGTGAAGTAGTGTTATCTTTGCTTTTGTCAAGTGACAGAGAAGCAAGACCATCCAATATCAATGAGAGGCAGTCCTACATCCAACAATGCAGAACCATCATGAAGCACCCAACCAATGAATCCCACATCTTGTGGCCATCGGTGGAACTACATCAAAGCTCTTCATGAAACAGCCATTTAGTCCTCCTCTGTCAGGATAGCATGGAGGGCTACTTGGTGAGCAATGCTGCCCAATTGTGGACTATTTCTTAATAAATTAAAAAAGAAAAACCACCACTAATTGTAAGACAGTACATTACAATCATAGAACCAGACCTGAGTTTCAACTCTAGACTCTGCCAGGTGGATAAACCAGGAGAACTTGGGCAATTTAGCCTCTCAAATTACTAAACCAATGTTTTCGTCTGAACCAGAGTCATAATAATACTTATCTCACCAATTCAATATGAGGATAGTATAAGATCATAGATGCATGTTATACAGCCAGTTTTCTTGAAATAGTAATATATATTGCCCCAGACCCCTAACCACTGGATTCAGTGTCATTAATACAGTCCACTCAAACACAAGCCTGCTCTTGCATGGGTCCTTGAAATCTGATGTCTCCCTCATGTTTCTGGAACAACCATTCAGTCCCAATCACAATTTCCTGGTACCATGTTGACCAAAGGACCAAGGATAGGACGCACCTTGCCTCTACCTGCTATAGAAGGAATCGCATGAAAGGGAATTCATTGATAGTTTTGTGGCAGGAGGTGAAAAAACCCATCACACAAATTCTACCCATCCCTGGACACATGGCCCTTTGGTGAAAGGCTCCTCACACTTCCCAGTGTTATAGGCACTAGCTAGGAAGTGGTCCCTACCTTGCTCTGTTGTACCAAGTTAGGGAGGACTCTCACAGGGCTTGTCTTGCCTGCAAAGGTCACAAAGCTACAGAAATTCCTGGTTCCAATCTGTTTTTCTTTACCTAGAGAGCATGTGAAGTGCTAGTTGGCTCCTCATTCTCTGAGGAAACCAGTGGATACAAGTCAGTACCCAAGGGTACCAAAATCACTTCTATGCTTGTTTTCCCTCCTCCCCTC